ACAGTAAGTATTAGGGAAATAATTTTGTAAAAATATCTGGAATTCAGGATTTGCAGATAACTATATTTTTATAATACCTTATATGAATGGAAATGGAATCAGAATGTAAACATACTAGCCATCATTTATGAAACAAACATACAATAGAAATCTGTACAAAGCTTGGCATTTATCAGTTTGGACATGAGTAAAGGCTTTGAAGTTTCAAGTTTTGTTTCAGTGCAGTTTTTCTTGCAGCAAGTGGAAGAATTTTAGTTTTCTAACTGGTGTATAAGCATGTGAAATATGTATAAATAGAACTATATACCTTGCTTGTATACTTGTATATTTTCTAAACCATTGACAGACTGTCATAAATAAGTAATTTTTTATTGATTGCAGTTAAAATTTTGGCGTCTTCACTTAGGTAGGCAGGGCATAAAAATGAGATGTTTAACCAACAATGTAAAATCTTCTGCTTTTTGTTACTATATGAAAAGTCAGATAAATTACTATAGGGACAACTAATACTACTAATTAAAACTCACACTTGAATATTTCATCTGTCCCAACAAGGTGCCCTAAAGAGGAATTCTAATTGGTTTGCTGATTTGTTCGCCTCACTGAGTTCAACTAACATTTTTTGTTATTACTGAAACCTATTTGTTGTATTTACTGTACCTGTTTATCATAGTGTATTATTATGATTACCAATAATGACTGAAGAAAAAGTATTGTTCATGTTGCTTCACCTCTGTCGCGACCATACACACAGACTTTATAATTCAGCCTTAATGCCAAAGAAACAGTTTGCAGCATTTAAAAAAAATGGAAAATGAGTTCATGGTGTTGCTTGTTGACTGTAAATGAATACCTCTCCAGTTCGATTTGTTTAGATGGCAAGACATAGTTTTGGCAGACATAGTATTCATATTACTGTCGGCCTCAAACACAGAGTAAATTATCTTGTGCGCACAGAATAACTTGTGAGCACAATAAAATAACTTGTGCGCACACAATTGAAAAAAAAAATCACCCTATGGGACTTCGGGGGTTCCGTATTAAAGTGAGAATTCCACACCGAAATAATAAAATTAACATATGCTATTAATGTCCCTTCTTGTGGAATTAAAATACATTATTAATGTCCATTTCAAATGTTAATAATATAATTTAAATCGATCACCAAAATAAGTATATACTTTGAAAGACTCGATTTCTGTTCCGTCGAGTTAAAGTTCGGGGTGTGTGTGAAGATCATGTGATATCTGGTACCGCCTCCTTGGCATAAGTTTGCATAATGTCATGTCCAGACTCGCTTGTGGAGGTCACATGTTTCCGGCCCTCTAGTGGAGATCCTCCTGGTGATGGTCTGCAGCCAGGTCCTTCTCACACAATCTTAAGTCGTCTTGCTCTTGTCATTTTACAGCGCCGGCTGAAGTTGGACAAGTGATGCATGTCACTACCAAAAATGTTACACCTACCGAAAATGTAACTTCTGCTACTACGCATGCGCACATTCATCACGCATGCGTCCACAAAACCACTTTTTCGGGAACTTCTTCATGACGTATAGTTCATCCCTTTGTATTACGCTGCTCTTTCTGAGGCACATTGGGCATTAATGCCCTGTGCGAAATAAAATCTTTAAAAAAAAAAAGTGGAGTGGTACAGTACTGTAAATACTCTAGATACAGTATAAGTAGAGTAGAGAGTTGAAGACATACCTGTTTTCCAGTCGGAATGTCCTTATTATGGATAAAACTGAATCGGCTTAGATCAGGGTGGACTCTCTGCCCAGCTTCCCTCATAGTCAGGCATGGTTGATGACATGGGCCACCAAAGTTGCTCTTTATGTCATCAGAAATAATGGTCCTTGCATGGCCTCTTCGACCATGTCCTCCTCTCTCTCTCTGTCTTCCTCTACCTCTCCCTGCCTCCATGCTTNAGGATAAGGTGGTCACCAGAGTCACACCTAAAGTGGACTTCGTTTGGCCCGAACCCGTACGATCAGCCTTGGTCTTTAATGCGGCACAGTTTGCTATCACGTGACCAACTTTGTGACAGTAGAAACATTCTCTGTCTTCCAGTGGAGGTAATCCCGATCCACGAGTCCCGACAGCGATCCCCATCCTACCCGCAGGCAGCTTACGGCTGTTGCTGACCTCGCGCACCGTCGAAGCAGCAAAGATGGCCTTATGCGTGAGGGTAAACTCATCTGCCATCACAGCGGCCTTCTTCACAGTCCCGACCTGTTGGTCATTCAGGTAAGTAACAACCCGCTCCGGTAAACACTTTTTGAATTCTTCTAATAGGATTAACTCCCGAAGTGACTGAAAATCAATAACGTTACATGCAGTAAGCCACTTATCAAACAAAACACTTTTTTCCCTGGCCAGCTCCACGTATGTCTGAGCTGGCAGTTTTTTATAGTCCCTGAAACGCTGCCGATAGGCTTCAGGGACCAACTCATACGCTTGCAACACAGCTCCCTTCAACGCTTTATATTCAAGTCCGTCTTCCATGGACAACGCAGCACATACATCTTGGGCCTTACCTGTAAGTCTGCACTGCAACATTAAAGACCACATTTCTTTTGGCCATCCCAAGGCTAATGCGATCCTCTCAAACGCAGTAAAATAGGCATCTACCCCGGATTCTCGGAACTGAGGAATTAAACGGATCGCCCTCGATATCTCGAAATCCGTTTTGACGGTCGAAGGATGAAAAGGGCGATCGGTACCTGAACTTCCCAAAGGGGACGTTTCTCCGTACGGAGGCGTCACGGCGGACCTGGCCGCTTCCAACTCTAGCTGGCGAAGCCGAACCTCCTTGTCGGCTTCCACTTCAAGCCGACGCATTTCTAGGCGCAAGTCGCAGTCACGCAACTGCGCTCTATCTCTCGCTTCCGCCTCAATGCGAGCCAGACGGACTCTCAAACGGGCGCTTTCCAAGGATGCAGAGGGAGGTGAAAACGGCTGGAACGGGGAAAGACCCGCCGCGACGGGTGGAACCACAGACTCGTCCGCAACGGCATCCCCCATCTCCGCCGACAGCTGCACCGCCTCCGCATTCCCCACCATGTCCGCGCACTCCGCCGAACTAGACGCTCCCGAATCAGGTACTTCCTCACGCCTCAAAATATCCAAGGCTACTAACCGGTCGAACACTGCCATTTTAATCTCCTGTTTTCTTTTTGCCCTCGACACCGCAATCCCGAAGTGTACAACGAGCTGCATAAGATCATCCTTCCTACACCGATCCAAAACAGAAACAGAGGGATCCTCCAGAAAACCCTTCACCGTGAACAGCACCATTATATAACCACCAGTCGTCGTGCCCCTCACCTGCGTACGTAGGCGCCCCTAAGGAAGGTTATCCCGGACGAGCCCCCACTTGTTACGGCCAGGGATATAAGAGGCGCACCCACGTACACAGGGACAGGGACACCCGACACACCACTCTAACACGGCTTTTAGTAAACCGTCTGTATTTCATGGCAGACAACAAGTGAATACAGAAGCACAAGGTATTTACGGGTTGGGCCCAGACGACACCAAAGAAATAAAAAGAGTAAAACAAAACATCCCTACCTACCCTTAGTTTTGTTTTCTCCACTATCTAATGAAAGAAACAAGACAAACAAAAACCTAC